AAATATTAATAAAATTTAGTAATTCCATAAATAAAGCTAAATAATATAACGAGAACCTTTTGTGTGCGACATCCATGCTGCTCACACCTTGCATAGAATACTTCACGATCTCAGAGAACATATATGCGAACGTTGATATATTTATCTGGAGTAAGCCTCTTACTTAATTCTGAAGCTACCTCGCCACCTAATTTATTTATATTCCTATCTAACAAAGCTTGGGAAGTCTTAGTGGTACGCTGTATCATGATAAGATGTGGAGAAGGAATATCCGAGCCGCCTATTTACAATACGGCGGTCATGTAAAAACTTAAACACATCGTTAAATACATTCCTAATAATGCAATTTTATAGATAATTGGTTATAAATACGAAGTTATTGTGTTTACAGTAAGCCTATACGCGCTCTCTTTCCCATCTCGTCGTCTTGCTTCAACGCAGTTATGATCCGTGACGCTCACGATCAGCCCCAGTGCCCAATCTGTCACGGAGAAATTGATTTCTATTCATACGGAAATTGTGACCATCCAACTTGTCTTAAATGTGCTTTAAAGCTTCGCAAATTCAAAAACAAATTAGCCCCAGATACCATTTGTCCCACATGCAGGCGAGTGCTGAAGGAAGTAAGTTTATTTAAGGAAACATTCATAAGGTTGCTGTTACCTGGTCCATTTTGCCTTTCACTGAGATAAACAAAGCTTTAATGAGGCCCGATGGTGAAAAATATTTCTTGTTTGCCAGCTTGGACATAGAAAAATATTTCTATAGTCTTATTGCCTGCGTTTGCCCTATCTGCGGGGTCGAGAGAGAAACAATGTCGGCCTTAAATAGACATACTACAAACGAGCATAATAAGTCATTCTGCGATCTATGCATACAACACGCTAGGGTAAGTCCGTTTTATTCTTACAACACTAGCTTTTGCCACGTGAATTCCCTGCCATGAACTTCAAAGAACTAGCTGAGCACAGGAAATGGAACAAAGAAAAGAAATCGGGCCATCCACTCTGTGACTTCTGTGATTCACGGTTTTACGAGTATGAGGATCTAGTCGAACATGTTCATTCTATCCATTTCACTTGTGAAGTATGTCACGGCGCAGGACAATTGGAAGTGTTCAGGTAATTTAACTGTAAATACTTGTTCCATCAATTTCAAAAATCTTCAGGACAGTACCGTGATGCCCATTTTACACTCCAACAGGGATCGTGACGAATTGAACCGTCATTACACCACTTACCATTTTACATGCCAAGAGTGTCAAGATGCAGGAACAATGGTTGTCTTTAGCACCCTTAACCAGCTTGGCATGCATCGTCTTCAGGAACATCCTAATAGCGTTGCAGGTGGTCCTCATTCCTGGTTGGACTTTAAAATGGCTCCTCTTTCTGAATCAGTTCGTGGTGTTGCCTCTAGACGTAATCCTCGTATCTCCGGAGGCCGAATTTATGGGGGTAATTTAAAGGCCCAAATACTTTTCATCATCGTCTTGTTTTGACTATTCTATTTTTAATGCTTTTTTAACTTTTTTGTTTGATGTATCTCACTAGATGATTTCCTGAATTGGAATAATGTAGATGTCCATTTATATACGAAATGTTAATTACTATCTTTTATTTGGTAGTATATTCAAATAGT